GACCTGAAAGCTGGCACTCTCCCACCACACCCTTCTGCCACTCTTCCAGGACCCCCATAGCACGCTGCACAAATCCTGTAAGCTCGTCCATGACAGGGTTCTACACTTGTTTCTCAGGGCTGCATTGGGACATCCCAAGACGGGAGATGGAGCCTTGGTTATCCTAGTCTTCCAGGAAAGTCATGTGCTATTTATGTCTCAGGTGCATTGTGGGGCTTACTCAGCTGAGGTACCAAGAATCAGGAACAAGGAAAGCACTGTCAGAGAACACATAGGAGGGGTACTAAGGTGGCTGGTTATATGTCTCTGTTACTCTGTGTCCCTCTGACCCGGCCCAAACAATGACGACATGGTTCTTAAACGGTCAGATAGCAACACTGAAAGCCAAATGCTTTCCAAAACAATTCTCTAAAGGCTGCATCGATTACAGCATTGTTTGTAAGAGCAAAAGGTTATAATCAACCAAAATATCTATCTATAGGATACTGGTTCAATAAATTTTGGTGCATTCCTACTACAGAATATTATGGGGCCATTCAGGTGAATAAGATCATGTTGTATGTGCTAATATAACACCATCTCCCAGAAACACTAAGTAAAAAAAGATCAAGGTAGAGAACAGTTACTTGGGTGGCAAAAAAGCAGGGTGAGGGGGTGTCTACATGTGTATTTGGATGGATACGCACTCTCACCAGAAGGATACACACATACAAAGTGGTTACTTTAGGGGAGGAGAGCAGAGAGTTTGGAGATAGTTTCTGCAGAAAGCTGAGTTGTCACTAAATGTCCCTAATACATTAAACCTGTTTTTACCATGTGCATGAATTACCTATTTAAAATAAACATATACATAATTTTTAGACAATAATAAATAGGTCTTTATAAAGTAGAGAGCCTCTCCTGGAAATTGTATCTGAACTTTTCTCCATCCCTGAAGCCCGATCAGGAGGGAGGTTTAAAAGTTTTTTGTTTTTTTTTTCTTCCACAGTGAAGCCCCACAACTGTGAGGCTGGAAGAAGGCTGCTCTAAGCCTGCAATATCATTAAGTGACTTGATGACACCAAGTGAGAGGAAGGAGTTGTCCAGACTCCTACTCACTCAGTGTTTCTCCTAACACGCATCATGGGGTGCAGAGGAGGCTGGCAGTTTCCCCTGTTTTAAGTGGTTTTGCCTGGTTTGGCCTTGTTGGAGGGCTGCCACTGAACAAATGAGGGACTGGAGGGGAAACTGCTTTGGAAAGGGTGAAATGCTCCAAGGAATAAATAGGTGCTTTTAAATGGAGACAACATCCTTCAAATTGGCAAAGAAGATCTTTTTGCCTAACATGATCACTGTATAAGCTATTGAAATAATGCAACTTTCAGTTCTTCTCTACTTCGCATGTGCTCCATTTTGTTGGTTAAAGCAGGGAGATAGTTTGGAAACAGGAAGATATCAGGGAGAAGACTCCAAGGAATTGCCCTTTAGGTCTACAATATACATCCCAAATACCCGAGGGTCTTGAGAGAATGTATGACTCACTAGGTCTGGGATTCTGCATTTCTAAGGAGCTACCAGCAGAAGCTAATGCTGTTGGTCTCCTAACTTCACTTTGATTAGCTACAGAGCAACCTCTCTTCCTCCGTGGGGACTGTTGAAGGATTTCTAGAGTCAATATTACCCTAAGCCCAGAAGCCCATGGAGTGGTCATCTAATGATGGGTGTAGGATGTCCTGTTCAGCTAGCACTCTTGCTGGGCACAGAACTGCAGACAGACATTGAGAACTGCAGACAGCATGAAAACCACCCTCGCTGCCCTGCGAAGGATGACAAGAATTCGAGAAACTTAGATAAAACCCTGAATGATAGAACAGAAAACATTTTTGGAAATAGAAAAGGCGAATAAATGTCATTTATGGAAAGAAAAGAAATCTCATCTTTCCAGGGTGTTTTGGAACAAATCAAACTGCCACATTACAGAACCCATCCATTTTGCAACGAATAGAATTTGGTATAAAGTCGCATCTCTAAGTCCATCCCTTCTGTGATTTCCACAATCTCAAAGAAGCTCACCTTGTTTAGAAAAAGAAGTAAAAGGTAAAAATAAATCAAATGCTGGTCATAAAAAGAGGTTGACCCTAAGGTCAGGGTTTGAGTGAATTATGTTAAAGATAAACTCTTGACTGACAGGGATGGCCATTTACAATGCTCTGCGCCTTGGATAGTACTTCCCGAGAAAGAATCACCTTTTGCCCTAAAATAGTGGATACACCTGGAGTTGCATGGCCCTCTACTTGTACTGCTGTGGGACAGAGTATAACAGACAGAAGTGGTGCAGGGTGAGAAGACTGGGAAGAAAATAGATTCTACAGACACTTCATTCTTTAGGCATTTCCTTCCAAATCTCTTTCTATCACACAATATTTTCTATGTAATTCATTTACTCTTTCACCCCAAAAAACACATTCACACAGTAATGTAACTATGTCAGTCATTTGCTATTCATTAGTGAGCAACAGAAAATCAGGCCTGGCTCCTACCCAGAGAGTGTTTACAGTCCAGACAAAGGACAGACAGACATTACTGCCAAGTGAACACAAAAATAAATATGATTGCTGGTAAGGACAGTAATTCTCTTATTGTTCCATGACAGCACAGGATAAAAATGGGGCAATAGCAGAGTTCACAGTTCACAGACAAAGTTCCCTCCCTACTTTGTCCCCATTTTCTTCCTCTCGTCGTTGAACCCTTTCCTTCTGTAGGAGCTCAAGGCTTCACAGGCATATCCAGAGGCCCCAGAGGGTGCTCTCCTAGCCCAAGGGCAGTGTCAGGATCCTAGTTCTTATGGCTGTCCCCTTACCACAGCTGGCGAACCTCTCACTGACCCACCGATCACCCTTCTAGAAACTTGACTGAAGACATAACCATTTGGGTGGAGAAAGATCTCTGTGCACATGAATGTTTGGTATAATTTAAAATAGTAAAACTGCAAACTAGCAAGGACATAACCTTCAACAGGAGACTGAGTAAATACATTACCATTCATACCTTTACTATTCAATGCTAAATGTATTGAATGTAATAATCAGTACAGAGATGTAATACTATACAATGCTAAAAAATGATGTGTAGACAAACACACATACACTACAATGGGAAGATATCTATAATGTATTGTTGAGTTTAAAAAGAAGGTTATAGAATAGCTTGTATTAAAAGGAACTGACTTATGTGACATTGTATATATGTGTGTTGTATGTTTATACATAACCTTTACCTCTATTTTACATATAGATACACACTATATAGACATATATAAATATTAAGCACATATATAATAATTTGTAATATAGTTCCAGGAGGCCTCATCTCTACGCATATACTCATCTGTATCCTGTGTCTCAGTCATCATTGGGACTAACAATGAACTCAAATCGAGGTGTATAAAAACAGCACACCTTGGCCAGGTAGCATATTTGTACTGTAGCTGAGTCTTGCAAGGCCTGAATCAGGGACTGGTGTGAACATTTTAAGTAGATCAATACGAGAGAGATTTGGGGGCAAGAAAGTTTTTCTGCACCTCTTCAATACTTCCTATACATATTCAAATATAAGACCACACATAGCTCACATATGTCTCTAAAAACTGAATGGAGACATCTAAGGACATGTTGTCTTCCTTTGGCTGCACAAAGCAACTCCCTATACCTGAATGGTGATAGTCAAGACACAATGAATAATGAGTTTGAGAGTCATTTTAATACAATGAAGTCCTCCTGGTAATTTTCAGGCATCAACTCAAATTCTTTACCCCCCCAAAAAAAATTGGGTTTTAGCTTTTCTATTCTAGTTGACTTCTTTTCAGACAGGTGGAAGGTTTTATTAAGCACTCTTATCTACAGAATTGTGCGGGTCTTTGTGAAGATCCCAGGCAAATTAAAAAGTCAGATTAGCAATGCATATTTAATACTGCTTTGTAGTTTGTTTTTTTAAAAGTTGGCAGCGATGTTTACTCTTTGAGGACGAGTTTATAATTATGCAAATTGGAGACACAGTCTGCATACAGTATAATGATAATGCCGTGGGTTTTATATTGAGTCAAAAGTATTTCTAAATATTTCTTCAATTTTATCCATGACTCGGGGAAAGCCTAGCTGAGGCTGAGTGCCTGCTTTTTCTTCAGTGATGGAGTATACGACACCCTGAAACTTAGGTACCTGCACAAGCATTCATCTTGGAGGAAGCACCATTGAGATTTGCAAGTATCACCTTATAGCAGATACTGCTGATTGTCTCGGCAATAACCCTTCATCCTTCCTTTCTCTTTTTTAACAAGACTTTAATTTTGTTCAGATATTCACTCTCCTTTATGTGACTACATGCTTCAGGGGATGTAGGTCCCACCTCTAGCCCCAGGAAGGGACTGATGATTGATCTAAGCCAATCATGGCGGTCCTATCTGCTTGGCCACAGATTGATTTAAGCAAGGGTATGTGACACAGTTTTGACCAAAGAGAGAGCCCACTGAAGACGTTATTAGGCTGGTGCAAAAGTAATTGCGGTTTTTGCCATTATTTGTAATTTTTTTTTTTTACAATTACTTTTGCACCAACCTAATAGAACTCAGGTTGTGGTGACATTTTTGAGCTACTTGATTAACCAACTATGGACCTTTCTTATTTCAGACCTTTTTGTCATGAGAGCTAATAACTTTCTTCTTATTATTTGGGCCATCTTGAGTCTGTGTTTTCTGTTACCTGCAGCCAAGAACACATAAGTGATCTGTACCTTGATGGTTCCCTATTGCTATGGGGAATGAATGAATGAATATATGAATAGACAGATAGATAGAAAGAAAAGGTAAAAGGTAAGTCATATACTTGGCATGTGATTTAGCAATAAGGCCAGCTGATACCTGTTTAAATGGTTGGAGGAAGAAATGGTAGTTTAATAAAGCGCATCTTGGCACCAAAGAGGAGTCCACCTCTTATAACCAATGAATAGTAAGAAAAGCTACTCACCGTTCACACTGCTGCTTTCATTGAAACAAGTGTCACCAGTCCCAATTCTCCTATTAAGGCAAGCCTAAGAGACACAAGAGAGAAAAGAAATACAAAATGGACCACCTCATTTCGGCATCAGGCGCTCATCAAGTATTTTGCCCCTTTCTCTCCAGCTGGATGGCTCCAGCTTTAAACAAACTCCATAGATCAGGCTGGACATTTTCCCGGGAAGTTGTTTCAACAGGAAGGTTTATCCCTACCAGGGAATCAGGCTCGCTACTTGATCTGCTATCTGCCACAATGTACATAATGTTCCCATAGACTCTAGCTAAAAGCCTAATTGTGCTCTGAAACGCGTACCGGCCCACCCATTCAGTGTACTTCACTTCCTATGCCACTTTAACTGGTTTGGGATTGGGCACAGGGCCTGATTCAGGCCAATGAAACACAGTCCAGAAACTTACTTTGAGAATGTATGGGACAACAAGAGTTACTTCTGCCCCACATAGCATGCTGAGGATGCTACCTCGAGCTGCTGGCAGCCAGCGTGGGAAATCGTGGCTGCAGCTTCCAACAAGAGGCACCAAGTTCTGATACTGTTTGGGCACTTGGATCCAGCTCTGGTTGAAATGCTTCAACTTTCCAGTCGTGTGAACCAATTCATATCTTTTTTTTGCTTAAAGCCAGTTGGGTTTTCTGTCTCTTTCAATAAAAAACCCTCACTAATACATAATTCTCACTTTACAAAGTACGACACGGAGTCTCAGAGAAAGGTTAGAATGGAAATGAGCCCCATGCAAGGGCTCCTTCTACTGCTGTCTCCATCTACTCAGCAATCCACCCCAGCGAAATGGAAAGAGCTGACACCCCATGGCTTTCCTTACTGGCTTTCACATTTCCCCTTTGGAGAAAACGGAGGAGTCTTCCACAGGGTTGCCAAGGGAGATAATAGATAATCAATATTATTTTAGCAAAGTAAAGATTGCTATGTGCGCCCGCGCGCGCGCGCGCGCACACACACACACACACACACACACACACACACACACACACACACACACACTGTGAAAGACCACAGTGGGTGCTTCAGATTTGCACAGATTTTCTCCCCTGAAGGTCTGTTCAGGCTGCAGGGGAGCTCGGGTTGCAGCCCTCTCCCCAGGGGACTGTTGCCCTAGGCCATGGACCATCTCTGCTTCCTCAGCCCTGTCCTCCTGACTCTGTCATCTCTGTGCCATCCCTGCATGCTGGCCTGTGACGGGGCGGATCACACACATCTCTCCACCCAGCTGAGTGACCTGCCCAGTGCCTGGTCCACCCAGAAGTGAGTCACTAAGCAGACGCCACAAAGAGGAAGTCTGCAACCAAATCCTGCTCCTTTGTATGTTTTGTTTGACTCACATTTAAAAAAATTGAACTACCTTGAAAAGTTTTGCATAAAAACTTAGATTTCAGGCTTCACTTGAAAAAAAAAAAAAAACACCAAAAGGCCTGTCAACACCTTGTGCGTTTCCACACAGTGACATGGGCCAAATTCGAGTCCTTTAGAAACATTTGCTTCCTTCACCATGTTCCCCATCTGGCCTCCTTGACTCATTTCTGCCACCTGCCTGGCTGCTGTGCGCATGCGCATTTTCCGTCTAGTCCTACCTCCCCTAGGACCTATTCGGGGCTAATCCAGCTCAGATGCCGCATCGCCCTCCAGTGGCTGTGTCTGGAAGCAACCTGTTTTCAGACTGGTTCCTGCCTCAGCCTCCTGTCCCTCTAGAAATAAAATCAGTCGCACCCCCGTGTGAGTTTTATGTTCCCTTTCCCTTGCTCTATCTTCTAGACCCTTTGCCAAATATAGAAATTATTTATTTGAATCAGGAAAAAATGGTATTATAACTGCCCCTGTGAAAACAATGCTGCCCTGTGTCCTGCAGGGGACAGGGACTTCAGGAAGGCTGTGTCGTGTCACCAACGAGGAACTGAATGAGAAGTTAGAAGATGCCATCACTCTGTGACCTGTATAAACGAATTCCTTTTCTCTGCCTCTGTTTCCCCTACTATTAAGGGAGGGAGTTGAGCTAGATCAGAAGTTGTAAAGTGGTGGCCCACCACCATACCCAGCCAATAGATGGCAGTTAAAAAAAATTAATTCTATACCCACAGCTAAAAAAACCCCCAAAAAAACCCCAAAAAACATTTCAAGTAAGAATTCAGATTACAGATTTGTCAGAACTATCTACTATCTACCCACAACTGACCATGGACTAGCCTTCACAGATGACACCGATGGTGAGATGCGGGTTCCAAGTTGACCCCAGTCCTCACCCATTTCCTAGTGGATGGGTACACGTACCCTGACCACCTGTGTATTCACTGACGTCTCTGCCTGCCCTCATGGGCATTTGTTCCTGACACCCGTGAAAGAGATGACCTCTAGGAACCCATCAGCCCCAATTCTGTGAGTGGAGACTGGAGATCGGAGAGTTAGACATGATCTGGAGAAGAGAAAGATGTTCTTTGCGGAAAGACCATGCTGCCTTAATGAATCACTCCTCCTCTCCACTTGGCCCAGAGTTGAAACAGCAAGCCGCCCAAGCCTTTGTGGAATGTCCCACGACATGGTTAAATCCGAAATGGCAACAGCAGGGTTTTGAAAGTAGCAGAATATTCTTCCGTTGGGGTTGCTAGCTGATTCTCTAAGTAATTTGCAATTCAAGTGTCTCTTTGTTTTGTATGAAAATTTGCTGCTATTTGGAAAGTGGGGAAGAGCTAAATTGCATCCTGCTGGTTTTACTTCGACTGTATCAAAAAAGAAACTGTTAATCTGGTTCCATAATTAACTTTCCTGTTCTAAAAAGGCCCTGGGAGATAGTCCAGACAGTGGCTGTCAACTCCCAGCTTCTCTTCTCAATAACTCCTTTCAACAGAAAGAAGAATGGGTCCAGGTGGGCACTGCTTTTGATTTTCTGTTTCACTGATTTTCCTTCCCCTTTCTTCCCATCCACACATTGAGTGAGCCCTTGCTGTGGATGGGCAAAGCACTGGGTTGAACAGAGGGTATACATTTATTTATCAAGATAAATAAATTCCGATGGAGCTGCCAGAAAATATAAATTTTTTATCCATCGATCTATCCATCCACCCAAAATGTGTTAGGTTTCTATATTACATGCCAGACACTGTGCCAAGGTATTGGTATGTGATAAATGCAAGAGTGACTTAATCAGCATCCAAGAATTCTAAAGTGGAGAGATGACTTCTTGACTAGGGCCATAATAGTTGGCTTTATGGAGAAATATCAATTAAGTTGGTTTTGACTCCAATAATACCTGTGTATGTGCATTAGTGTGTGCACATACTCACACATGTGCATAAAATCTAGAAGGACAGGGTAACTGATGCAAACAAGGACATTTAGCCTGGAAATTAAGTTTGACCATCAAGGGGAGATCACTTTGGCACAAGCAGAGGATTTGGACCAACACTCATTGACTACTGGGAATCGTGCTAAGGGCTTTTTATCTGTTATCTCAATGAAACCTCACAATGCAAAGCAGTAATTACTGGTTACAAGTTACAGACAGGAAACAGACTCAAGAAAGTTCCCAGAACACACTTTGGTGGGGCAAGTGGCAAATGTGGAACTTGGACTTGGGTGTGACTTCAGAGCATAAACTTTTAACCACAGGACCTCACTTCCCAGCACAAAAAACGACTAAAGAAGGACTTGGATGTCCACCAATCACTCACGTGATCAATTGATAATGCATTCATTCATTCATTCATGGAAATCTACGTATATTTGTTTGTTTCCTTCTGGAATGCAGACCACTGTCTTACAGCTGAAAGCCTCAAACATAGCATAAACTCAATATATGCGTGATACATTTGACGCTGCTACTTTGTTCCCTAGTATCCATAGTCCTCTTTTCCTGCTAGACATAACCCCCTACCTGTCCTAAGTGATATCTGTGTACATGGTCATCAACTAGATATTTCAGTGCCCAGCCCCCCTTGGGATTGTATGCGACCATATGACTAAGTTAGGGCCAATGGAATATGAATGGGAGCAATATATACCATATTTCCCTATGTATAAGATGCACCCTTTTTTGAAAAACTTGGGGTCTAAAAACTGGGTGTGTCTTATACAGTGGTTGTATGAGTGCAAAAACAAGCACGAAAAAAGCGGGAAATGCAAGTAAAAAAAAATCTACAACCACTGTATAAGATGCACCCAGTTTTTAGACCCCAAGTTTTTTGAAAAAGGGTGTGTCTTATACATGGGGAAATACGGTACAATTTCTAGGTCATCTTCATAAATATAAAACTACTTGCCAGGACTCTTCCTCCCACCCCCTTCCTGTTGGCTGCAAAACAGTGCAGTGGTGTCCTTAGAACCACATGTTGAGGATGGCAGAGCCAACTGGCCAGCCTGTGACTCAGACTGACCCTGTGAAGCTGCCTACCTTCCCTAGACTGCTCTCCCACTTTGCGACTGTGAGGGACACACAGTCTTGCTCTTCTGACCTAACCTGGTCTCCATGACAGCAGTTATCTGTGCCTTAACTCATGTTTAATGGAATTGGTCTGTTGACTTATGGACAGAAGTCTGGCTTCCTTTCCATTTGTTTTTTTTCCAGGAGGGTGACACCTAGCCTAAAATGATGAGACCTAGGGCACTGAACGTACAACTGAACGTACATATGCCATGCCTTAAAAGCAGTCAAGGACACGTGATGGGAGGTGTGAGCTCAGGCTCTCTAATCCTGGTTAGCTGGGAGAGTTAAGTGAATAGACTCATGCCTGGGATTTTATTATTTATGCTGAAGTCACTGAAAATATCTTTAATCAGAAGTATGTCCAGACTTCCTAAATAATGTTTTGCACTGACATTCACTGCTGAATCATTCTTCTCAAACTCATCATTTTAGAAAATCATCTTTTGCTGCCTATTTCTTCCCATTTGAAAGTTTACAGAGTTCTGTTTTATGCCATTCCCCTTTAAGAGCTTATTTAGATAATTCTGCTGAGCATTCATTTCCTAGCTGGCTATTAACAACAAAATGCCGTGTATTTGTATGTTGTTTA